GTGTCCACTCAGAATCGTGGGGACTGTAACTTTTTCTTTCGATGGCGACATGGTCATTGGTGCATCCAGGTGACCATTCCAAAACTAGCTCCAAAAAGCGAAAACTGACGTAGTCGTCTTCGTTACTTGCCGTGAGAAAGGAGTTCCCCTCAGAAACTCTTCCTCTGTAACCTCTTGTTCCTAGACCAAAAGTTTTGTTTTGCTCTATACTTCCTCTTGCCATGTTCGTCTGGAACCAGACGAGGGCGACGATGTAAGCCTGCACCGTTTTATAAGTAAGTGACATGGCACCAATACCCGAGGCCGTGTATGATACTGGACACGACGAGTGCGCGATGAGTGAATAACTTGTTTCGAGCAGTCAACGTATTTATACAAAATTAACCACTCGTATTGCAGTCCGGAGAGTGATCAAGTCTTCTCTCAAAATGTTTCTCATATCGTATGCATGTAATTCTTAACGCCTGTTATCTTTAATTGCACATTTTTCTCATAATATATTTCATGTGCATGGTATCATTTCCGAAGAAAAAAAAAGTAAAATGTTAAAAAGAATCAATTTATGGTCACAAATGTACACGCCCATTTCTTAACATTCGATTGGTAGCCCTTTAAACACACACAGAAGCCATCAATATCCTAAGTCCTCCTCATTCCCAACGGTGTCATTACTATTCAGAAACCGTTCAGCGTAGGAGGGATTGAAATGCATCTAAAAAGCACATTTAATCAAAGGGTGACGCGGTGGGACACTGTAATGTATTAATGAAACTGTACACGACTAACAAATCTACATGTTAATGTAGTGCAATGGGGAACATTATTGTTAGTGTTCACCCGGGGCATGTTTCAAGCTCCACCCAGTCTTTAAACATATACAGCTAAGAACGCAATAGAAACAAATGAATACTGGAGAAAAAAAGATACACGCCCATGCCAAGTGTAGCCGGCGCACTTATTTCAATTACCATCTTTCGTCGTAATCCTCATCCACTTCCCTTTACCGCTTTTTACTGTTTAGTAGAATGCTTACTACAAATGGTCTTCTGTTAGACTATGTGAAAAGCGATGGTTTGCGGAAATTACCTGGCTAAGGCCAATGAGTGGCCGTAGGTAGGTTGAGGTAGAATTTTTCCAGACTTAACATAAAGGGACTAGCGACACGTCTGTAAAACAGTAGGCTATACTACTGTGGGTGGAGTCCCATCTTCACTGGACATATCATATCACTATCACTCATTGCCGTTCGCTATCTACTTTAGCAAATGATCAATTACTCGTATTGCAAATTATCCGCCAATGCGCTCTTCACCCCCTGGCAACCTGACTATAATACATTGTTATAATACCAATAATCTCCTTGCTAATCGACGAGTGTTCCGATGGCTATTCGCACTGACCCCAAGGGATAAACTATTATTTTTCATTTATTTCATTTATCAATTTATTATAGTGTCATGTGTAAAAAAACACCAAGCATTTTGGACTTATAAATGAAGAATTGCTTTTGTCTTCAATAAAAAATCTTAACAAAAATTTAGAAAACTGCCTAATAATTTTTCTCATTAAATATTCTACAGAAATTTCATTTCTTTCATTTGTTTGGATACCCAACTTATCATAAAATTAACATCGTTCTTCTATATAACAATTTCTATTATTCATCTTCTCCAACTTTTCTTTGATAGATTGGAATATTGCGCCTGACTTTTTCTAGTATCGTATATACTGTTTGGAAATCATGTGAGTCTCCCCCGGAAACAGCCTCATATGTAGAATTAATCTTAAGCCTGGGTCACACTGCGCTTGCAACCTTTTGGCAACCTCTTTGCAACCTCAGTCGCAAAGAGGTTGCCATAGGTTTTAAAGTGGTCGCATAAGGTTGCTAACAGGTTGCCTGCGATCGTTGACACATGAAGGCCATTTTTTGTGCACCGACAACCAGTGCGACTAAAGATGAAAATTATCGGTATCCTAAAGGTTGCCTATGGGTCTCCTCTTGGTTGTCAGTAGGTTGCTATAACCAGTAGCATACCATTTGCAACTGCACGGTCGATTGACCGTATTTAGTCGACTGGTCGCTTACAAGTTTTTTACCAGTCGCAAGTAGTCGGCAGCAGGTCGCTAGAAGGTTGCAGTTGTAACTGCATGGTCGATTGACGGTCTTTTATCTTGGTCGCTAAAAGGTTTTTTAACGATCGCAGGCGTTCGATAATATGTTGCAGGAAGGTTGCAAGCGACTGCAATAAAATAGGCGTAGGATGGTGGTCTATTTGGGCAAAGACTTTTTCATAATTTGTTATGTAAGCCTTCTAAATATCAAGGTCGTAAATTATAATATTTTAGAAAAAGAAAACATAAATTGCATTTGTTGGCAATATTTTATACCAATTGCCAAGGCTTTCATATACCAGGTATTTCACACTTACGAAACAAAAAAAAATGTGATGTTAAAAGCAATGTAAGATTTTTTGACGCTACGTTTATTTATTTTATCATTTTGCGAAAATCATAGGTAAAATGCCGAAAACCTCAATTATATATCGCTGTATGTTATTTAAAATTTGCAAAGCCATATTATCAGAGTAAACGATGAAACAAATACACAAATGCAGAGAAAACGGAAAATAAAAGCAATTTAATCAACAAGGTGTAGCTGCTATTTAATATCATAATTTCAACAATCAAAATTATCCACAAATAATTGAACAAATCGTAAAATGTGTTTAATAGACTTAATTAAAAATAGTTTCAACACAAACAATTTAACATCTTCCCAGTGCTTGGTATCCTCACTACAAGGATGAGAGTTTAAAAAGTACACGATGCGCATGACTTGTCTCGATTTAATTACGTTGTATTGTAAGTGGCCTAGGGTTAAAAAGACAAAAGGAACACCACACATTCGGTTGCAAATCGGTTGCAAAGCAGTCGGCGACCTGTTAGCAACCGGCTGGATACCACAAGTAGGTTTTTCGGTCGCCAGGAGGTTATCGGTGCTGCACCGAAAACCGGCGCAACCGGATATTAACCCAGCGTTCATTTGGAAACCACTTTGCGAGTTGTTGCAACTGGTCGCCGACCTTTTTGCAAGCGGTGACAGTTGCAAGTCGCAAAGAGGTTTTTTGTTCAGTGTGACCGTAACTGCACAGGCCTTGCGACCTCAAAGAGACCAAGTATTTGAACAAGAAAATATTAAAGAGTATTATGAGATTAATAAGGATTAAAACGTATGCAAGTTTATGTTTATTGCAGCACTGGTTTCGTTAGGTGAGGGTGTAGTCTTTTCAAAAGTTCACAAAACATTGTTGGTTCTATTTTTAGGAATGTGATGAAAACTTCCTGATTTTCACGTTCTTTCATCAAATGTTTGTAATCGCCTTACAAGGGGCGTCTTGCAATCCACGGGTTCACCTAGTATTTTCGAGTTTTTTACTCGTTTTACTTATTAGGTAAACAAAGTCAATGATTACAGCAGTCCCGTCTTTTTGAAAAGGAGTCGTTTTACTAGAACATTTTTGTCTTTTGAGAGGGGAATTTATGGGAAAGCAGCTACTGTCACAAGTTGGCAACATATATATTCTGTGCGACCTTGCTGCTACCAGTTGACAATTGATTGCTACAGTCCTGCAACCGGTTTTCGGTCACCAAGTGGTTGCAGACAGGTTGTGTATCGCTCGGCAAACAGTGTGCTCCTAGTAACCTATAACTTTAAGACGGTCTATAAGAGGTTGCAGATACCATACTGCAACCTTGTTGCAACCGGTTTGCGACTGCTTGCCGATCAAAATTGGCCACAGCTTCTTGATTAGCTTGCAAAGTGATCGCAAGCGACCGCCACATTTTGTGGTTGCAAAAAGGTTGCATAAAGGTCGCAAGCACAGTGTGACCCGGCCTTTAGTTAAACCTATCTACGGTTGCGCTACACAAGCGCACGCGAGCGCGCAAACCCACATACACAAACATCTTCTCACCGGGGATAAAAAATCTAGTAAATATACCCAGAAAGAGATAATTGCTTGTTTATCCTTACAGGTACAACATCACTCTATGACGCTGATGAAAATTGTGCTTGATAGCTGATGTTTCAATTTTATAGAAAGATGCTTCAAGCCTAACAGGCTATCTAGAGCATTGCGATAGCGGTGTTTTAGCAAGGAGAGGGCAGTGCGTGTATGGTGGTGGCTGGGAGTTTCCAAAGGTAATTTTCCGTTCATTTTAATGTATGGAAATATGTTAATATTGGAATAATTACTGTAAGTTTCAACAAAAATGGTAATAGGGCAGTATTGTCCAGTTATACAGTGAAATCTAAAATATCAGCAACTGACTTAACTCTCAAACTGTTTCCTTTAGCTGCAGATAGGGTAGCTGACACAAAAATGTCGCAAAAAAGTGGCTACTAGGAGAGTAAATGAAAACAATGGTGGTGCAGAATAGTCATTTTCTTGGTTTGTTTTGAGCGGCACACTTTATATGCAGTCTTTTGACGCCCTATATCAAAACAGTTATTATATTGATTTATATTAAGGTTTATGTATTATGTCATATTATATTGTTTAATTTGTTTTCATTACTTTAATGCGCAGAAGATGATCAAGGATATCTTGAACGAATAAAAGGATCGTTTTATTTGTCCAAGAGGACAGTAAATGAGAGAGAGAGGATTCCACTCCGCGAGGAGCAAAGTTCTGGCGGTATTGAACGCAGCAAAATAAGTTAATTGCATTTTATGAGTGTTATTTGTGAAGTGTGTTTCTTGCTTTAAATAGCGCACAATGTTTAACTTTTGAAATTCAAGGACACGTTTTTTCTTACCGATGATTTAAATCACTTGAAAATCAGTGCTGCGTTGTCAAATGGTTGGAAGACAGGAATAGGGAAATCACCATGGGAGTGTGCCACATTTAAGGCTGCTGACTTTAAATTATAAACATGCAATGTACTCAATGGTAACTTATTTTAATCCAACTTTATAAAAATAAAGGCAAACGACAGAATATAAATCCATTCCCAATTTATTTTCCCTACAAAAATAACAAGTGCGGCGCATCTACCTACACATTACAAATATGTGAATTGCATTTTGTAAGTAGGCACTTGCGCCACAGTAAATATATACAAACTTATATACACATTAACAGGACGACACGTTCATCTGCCAAGCCGCCAGTGAAGAACCTTCATACAAAGCTATATTTGCATCTGTTCATAATTCGTCCCGCTTATGCTGTACTTTTTTCCTGAGAAAGTCACACTCGAAGCCGTTATTTTGAAGTGATGCCGACATGGTTGCCGAGTACACCGTTTTCATAATATTCTGCACACTCTCACCACAAGGCTGGTAGACCTTGGTAAGGCATTCTATAACATCCCTGGCCCCTCTGAAAAAACACAGATATAGTATACATAAATTCATTTTAAATATTCATAAGTAAAGATGTGTTATATTTGCTCATTTGCAACGAATCCATGCCAGAATCATGATACGAATATTGAATTCGCAATATAGACAGGACATAAAAATGTGCATTAATCAAATGAGAATGGGAAATGGGAATTAATGCATTTAATCGGTCACTTGCAAATTACTCGTTCGACGTTTCAATGTCATATGTTTTAACTGAAGTAATTTATATAGAAGCAGTTTATATAGCGCCTACAGCTGGCTTACCCGCAGAGACTGGCTTTTACATCTGCATTGGCAGCTGACCTTGAAATATCGTGCTCGCTCTGGATCTTCTCGTCTAATTTCTCCGCCATATCGTTACACTTTATCGTCTTCTCTCGACCCTCCAAGTTGACCTTAGCAATGCAGTCGAAGTTTTTCATATATTCTGAAAATGGGATGTGTAAAATAACATAACAGCGCATTTTTTCTATGCATGACGGTGTTACATGTACTACATTTATATAATGATACAGAAGATCGAATTGAGACAATCACTTTTCTTTAAAAAAAAGTGCAAGTTCTAATATCTATACTGTTACAGTATGCTCCCAGCCTTTTTTTATAAATATATAATCACCTTGTTTATATTCTTTGGTCAAACGCGTCACATTTTTATCGTATTTTGTCCCCAACCGATGCCAAGTGCTTACCCTCGTGCCCCTCTCCACACAGATAGTCCATTGAACTTTCGATGATTCTGAGCGTTTTACTAGATTCCGAGTCTCTAGGTCCAGAGAAGTCCCAACACGAATCTCGAACTTTCAATGCACATTTTTTAACCTTCTTGAACACTCTGAAATAAAGCGACATGCACTTAAATATAAATATATTTTGTTTTGCCGTGGGAATTTGTAATGACGGCAAAGAAGTAGGAAGGAATTATTTTGTTGCATGTGTTACATGTACCACACACGAGCAGTTGTGTCCGCGTGCGCGCGTACAAATATTGCACTACAAAATGTTTATATTTGTAAATTTTATCAACTGCAGCAAACGACAGGTGTAGGCATAGCTGATAATTCAGCGAGTTTTAAGAAATAACACCGCAAATAATTATAGGATCGCCAATAGTTATCCGAGGCAATATACGATAGTTACGCGTGCAATAGCCTTAGCTGACCAGCGGTCCCTCACTTTCTGAAAAAGGAACTTACATGGTCTACATCTACAAAAAGATGGTATATAGGTTAGCTTCGCGGTAACCATTGTAAACCACATATGTGTAGCGACCAAAGCCAGCAAAGCAAACCACCCTAACCAGTATAGTAGTGTGTGATCATTAAATAATTAAGTCCTTGAGCGGACTGATATAATCCAGCCAAAAATATTTTGTGAAAGAGGAGAGGTAATAGATTTACCTGCATGTCTCCTTGGCGTCTTTTTTGGTCTCAGGAGTGACAAAGTTTGTGGGAGACCCCTTCCGCTTCTCGACATACTTCATCCATGTGTCCAGGCAAGGCAGCCAGTCCGAGTGCACGCACCCACGCCTCATTTCCTCCTCGGGCCCTGAGCAGTTAGCGTCTTTGTTCAGACGACAGGTTTCTATACGATAAGAGACAATTGTGAGAGAGCTACACATTTCAGATACTCTGAATTTGATGTTCTGTCACCTAAGCATAGATATTATTACTATTTTCCCCCTCCATCAGCTCGTCACTTACACACAAAGGGGAAAACCGTAATGTTCCGTCACACTGAAATTCTCGACCCCGCTGTTTTATTCCCATATATAATTTCTACATTATTGGGAATTGTTTTTAACTCCTCTCAACACTTATTTACAGAGCTTCCCCACAGACAATATGGCATTTCGAATATGTATGATACACTATTATCTATATATAGGCCTACTATACCATTTTAACTGAGAATAATTCGTCTTCTAGTAAATATTTTTACAGGACAGGGATACTGTAAAAGAAAATAACATAGGCAGGCAGTCTACTCGCTTAAATAATAAAACAAGATATAAAACTTGAAACATACCATTTCCATTAGAACTTTGGCAAAATATCGAAAGTCCCACCAATACGATGGTTAGCAGCTGTACACCGTACTCCATGCTGATGTTTTACTAAATGAGAAATGTTAGCGAAGCGTTCACAAATATAGGTCGAGGTGCCGGGATAATGGGATGACGTGTGCTTCCGCCCGACCCACCGTCATGCACGAAGAGATGTTATTATTCTGCTCTACAGTAATGACAGGGGTCAGGCGAAATATGGGAAATACGTATAATGTCCGGTTTTGTGAAATCAGTGCTATACCATCAACGCTGTCCTCATACCAGAATATGTGTTGGAAGGAATGTTTTCAAGCACCGAGAAAATACATATCAAAGTTTGATCTAATTCGATGTCTCACTTTAATTTCGTCTGTCGGGTCTACACACAAAACATCCGCTAATCGGCTGGGAGCGCTGCTTAATTTTTTTTTACTTTATATTATTGTTAATGATTTTTAAAATAATATCTATATCAAATACCCTTGTTACAAACTTTTGATACATGTGTGGTGTACCTTATTGTTTATATGCACTACTACAGAAGTGGTACTGTACTTAATAATTATCTTCTTTAATCGCCATTTTATCTGTACCGGTTATTATGTATTTTCGCCTCAACCAACAGCCTGAAATATTACATAGTTACGTATATTGGATTGGAGTAGACCGGTTACTGTTAACAATTACCTATATCCTTTATTTCGAGTTACTATCCATTATTTAGAATATAGTATTATTCAAAAGGCTCTCCCCTCCCCCTCCACGACCTACATTCATACTCGCACGTCAGCAACCACTCATGATTTATTTATATCCTCCAATTTATTGTTAAAGTGTGTCCAGCAGTCATACATGTTAAGTCTATATTTGAAATGCATCTACAGCTAGTAAAATGAACACGTTGTCAACGGTCGTGCACAATTTTTACAAAAGAAAAATATAGGCCTACAATAAAACAAAACAACATCTTTCATTAGTCTGATATTTCAGTATTTATTTTACTCTTTGTAATATGTAATGTAAATGTCTGAAATTTTCATAATTTTTATTTATAAATGATCAACTCATGTCTTAGATATACCAATGTTTTTGTGTTCTCGCATAATCTTGACGTTACAAGGTGAAAGATAAAATGAAAGACATGCCTCGTTAGGTCTAGGTACAGTGACGTAACACAGGGACACCCTGAACCCAGTCAATCAGTTTTCGTTGCTGGTCATGGATGAGCTGTAATTGTGACCAGGATTTCGTGCAGCACCCACGCGGTAACCTCGTGGCAGATTCGCAGTTCAACGCTAGCATTTTAAAAACAGTAAGTGTGTATTTATAAACATATCCGGGTTACAGTTATAAAAATATGTTTACGTCTATGGGAGCGGAGAGGCTATGGACGTCAGCAGCGTATCTAAATATAGCCACCGGGTCGAGTTTCCGCACCTCTGTTCGGTCTGTTTACCCACAAACGGGGACTATAATGTATTCTTCCAAGTGACAGTAAGTGCACGTTGTCACGCATTTCTCTTCTCTTCCTAACATAATCGTGGCAGCATGCTTATTTAGACTGTCACTACTGGTACCTAAAGGGGAGCCACCACTTACGGGACACAACATTAAACATTTCTTCACACAAATTGTTCCCCCTTCGATCCATATTGCCTTCGTATATTGGGGGGGGGGGGGGGGAGGTACAAGCAGATTGCTTGACTCCTCTAGGAAATGATAGACCTCTATTGTTTCTAGACATTTCACTTGTGTTTTTTTCAGCAAATTATATTCATTTACATAAGTAGCATTAGGGAAATCGTTGTTAAAAATATTGCAAGTGAAGATAGTTCCAGATATTTGTTCCGTTGTTACTCGCAGCTGTATTTTGCCAGGAAAAGCACAGGATCCGAAAGTAATTTTTTAATCAAGCAGTTGGAGGGAACGCAAAGTAAGCGGGTTAAACTACAAAGAGGAGAAAGAACTATTTCAACTTTTTGATCCTGTAGCAGTATGTTTTAGCTGATAGTTTGATATAGGCCTCTCATTTGCTTCTGATCTCCATGATCTACGAAAATAAATTTATATCTCTTTTCATTTTTAATCTTTGAGAATCATGGAATCCAAAGACACTAAAGTTGACATAGAATTACCCAAGGGTTGTTGTAATTCATGTTGCCACAGACTTCGAAGGTCCCGCCATCTAGTGGTGTTCATACTGTTTATGGCAGTATTGATGGACGTTGTCCTAACAACAAGCATTGGTAGGTGGGGAAATCTGTCGTAAAATATATTAAAGAACATCATATCAGATAAAACTTTATTTTAGTAAACCGACCTTTAACGTAATATATAAATATCCCACAAGTTTTATAATTTGAGAAAGAATGTCATTTTAATTAATATGAAAATATGAAATGCAGCATGATTTTATGAAATCTTGTTGCTTTAAGGAAAAAAAAAACAATTTTACATTTGCTTGAAAAGATTTGTGAAATTTGATTATTTAGCTACATGTATACAAACTGTCATTTTACTGTTAAAGACCCAATAGTGCCTGACGTTATACATCGAATCATGGGAGATGCAGACGCCAACACGAGCGTGCCGATGGTAAAGTCGTCGTCTCCTGTTAACAATACTGTCAGAGATGAGAAAACTGTCGGCAATGAAAACGGTTTCACGGAGACCAGCAGAGGAATGGAAATTGGCATAGTTGTGGGTGCTAAGCCTTTCGCAGAGCTCTTCTTTAATCTCGTCGTAGGCTGTTTGGTGGAGAGGTTAGTAGATTTAAAATCGGGATTTTTCAGGTTGAATCAGAATGACGTCGTTTATCAATGCAGCGCGTACTTTTTCTATTTTTGAATTGTAGAAATATTTAAAATGAAAGAATGAATACGATTTCTAACAATTTTTTCATCCATTTCAGAGTCGGTCATCGTTATCCGATGATTCTAGGTTTTGGCATCAATTCTGTTGCCACTGCAGGTTTGTGCTATTTACCATAATGGTTCTTTAGCTGAATATTCTCGAAATACGAACAGAACACATGTATTGTATAGCCAGAGTTTGATTTCACAGAGCGATTAGAGCACTTGTTGATTGTCTAATACTTTTCTTTTTTACAAGTATTTGCTTTTGGCACTAACTTCCCAACCCTGGTAATGGCAAGAGTTCTTCAAGCGATTGGCTCCAGTATGTCCGTGGTAGCAGGTAACATAACGAACATTTTGTGCGTTTCCTATAATAAACACGTATTTTTAAAAAAAAAATTGCGGCTTATCTAGCATTATTGGTTTATTGAGCATATCGGTTAAGATGAACACATACTTCTGTATCTCTGCTCTTTTTCATATCCATTGAGGCCTGGTGTGCCTGGCATCAGCCATCCCAGACGACGAGCAGCGTGTTAAAGCCAACAGCATGGCCTTCATGGGTATCTCTATTGGTGTCATAAGTACGTACAGTTTTTTTATCTTAGATTGTTAGCCGTGGTATTTGCTGAATTGCAGTTTGAAAACAGTTGGGATGATACTTGACAAAATTAATTTGCATTTCAGTCGGGTACCCTTTTGGCAGCGCCACCTATCAATTTCTAGGACAAGCTTCACCGTTTTTGATTTTGGTTGCATTCAACATTTTAAGCGCACGTAAGTAAGCAAGGCTGAACAAAGCCACGATACTTGGCGGGTGTTTTATTGTAGTGGCATCTATATTTTAATTTGTCTTTTCAATACGTTTACTTACATGAACTTGATTTTGTTTTAAATCTGACATTGCGCTGTTGTATCTTTTCATCTGATTCACATTTATTGAATGAAACGAGATACATGTAATATTGAAGAAACTGTTGATAAAGAAGCAAGTAGAAAGCCTACCCGACAGGTGTAACTTCAACCTTGTAAGGTTTTGTGACAGTCTCGCTCTGCTTTTAGTGCTCCGGCTATGGATCGTAACACCTGAAATATCGAAGGTAAGTCTTATGGCTTTTTTCCTTTGGCATTGATTTAATTCACCTGTGGTTTGGGCAATAACAACAAGAAGAACGATATGGGTTTTTCATATTTCAAACGAAGATAATTTACCCTATAGCTAGCGTTTTTTTTTCAGTTCTTTAGGTAGAAACAAACATTAAAACTTTTACACTAGTTACAGCCAACTAAGATACTGGGACTCCTTACTTCTCGACCCTGACATCCTTATCTTTCTGTGTTACTCACACCAACGTACGACTACTCTCACAGTCTGCTGTCGTGTGAATTGCTTGTTCCAGGTTGAAGACAACTGCTCCAACATTATAGAATTCGCTCGGCTCATGAAGGACCCATACGTCCTTATTGCACTGGGTGAGTGGTTTTACAAATTGCAAATATACTGGACTGTAGTGTTAGCTGTTCTCTACCAACTACCTTATAATGATTGTTTTTTACTTTACTTGTCGCTTCCATTCCTTGCATGCATACAAATGCACCACATAAATGCATAACTCAGTACATGTTACGAAATTTAGAAGCTACACAGCAAATAATAATAAATAATTTCGTTTAAAAAACGCAATAGAATATTTATTTTGTTACTCACATGAACCCCTATCATTAGGTTGCAGTTTCGTCTCAAACTTCGGTTTAGGCATCTTCCTAGGGACGGGCCCTGCCTGGATGCTATACAAACTGCACGCGGAACAGTGGACTGTTGGTAAGTTTTGTGTAACGTTTTGATTTTATAACTAACGCCAATGCTAATATACCAGTAAAATGTTCCTAACCCTACGCATATTTGCACGTCCGATGAAGCCATTTGGATCGAATTACATTTTTTCATATGTATTGTAACAATGTGATGACGTAAAACAATACTAAATTTTACATTCCTAGAGCTATAATGTAACATTGGCAGCCTTGACAAGAACAAAAATACGACAGCATGCGTTGAACTTGCTGTAAGAAGAGATACATATCGATAAACATTTTACAGGAGGAGCCTGTTCCATTTCAGGTGTGGTACTGGCAGTTGCCGTCTTCTTCCACCTCACTGCCCAGTACATTACGGGGGCATACTCTATGCGGTTTGGAAGGTATGATAAGTTAGTGTTCATTACCAGAGACTGTGCAGCTGACGAACTAAAAAATAAGATTCGCTTGTGAAGTTGTAACATCAAAGATAGGTTCATTATTTTAGGTGTTTTGAAAAATGTCGTTTCATTGAAATGTCCTAGGTTTAGGAAATTTTAGGTCAGCTGCATAGGCGGCGTGGAGGATATGTTCAGACGTAAGGCTTTCATTTGTGTTCATAAAAAAAGACTGTACGTTGTATGCGTTAAACTGCTTGATGGTTTCGGTTTGCTAAAGATTGTCAATAATTAGCCTACATAGCAGGCAACCCAAAGAACGCGAGAAATATTCGGCAATGAATCCTTTGGATTTTTTGGTATATCGAACAATCGTTTCTTTTCTTTTTCAGGTGGTTATTTTGCATGGTGGGTCTTATGCTTTCTGCCATTGGAATGGGGGTGGTGAGGATTCGTATTCAAATCTCAGAAACTTTCCAGTTCCTGGAATTTTTGTCTCAGTTTCTCTTTGGTGCACTATCCACTCAAAACTACAAAAATGTTACTAATATGTAAACATGATTTTTAAACAAGAGAATTATCTGTACTAACTTAAAAAAAAATTAAATTTGACGGAGGCGAAACAAGTTATTAAACTTAAAAAGTACTATAATTACAATACAGTGTTCAAAAATGTGTCTTGTTTTCCGAGGTCGCACATGCTCACTCGTAATTTTTTTTATTCCAGTATCCATTTGTAAGCAATGTGTGGGAAGTCCTGGGCCCCGAAATCATTGTCCGCATTGGTCAGGGAACAGTTCTCAGCGTTATAAGTCCACTCCTTGGTCATCTGGCGGACATCCGGCACCACGGCAACTACGGTGGAGTATACGGTCTTTATACTACGTCTTATAACTTAGGATTAAGTATAGGTTGGTGACACGTTCCGTTTATGTGTGCATATATTCCTTTGCGTCTTACGGTGATTGTTTGTTAAAGCAAGAGACTAGCCAATTTGACGCTACTCATACTGAATAGTTCGAAGTACTTTATTTCGTAATCTTTAAAAAATATTTTAAAGTGCACGCATGTTTAATTGAAAAAACGGGTTCTTTAACCTGTGTTTTATTGACAATCCTCTCCATTTTCAGGGCCAGTGTGTGGTGGTTCTTTAGTAAAAGTGCTAACTTTTGACTGGTAAGAAATCCATGATATTTTCATCTTAAATGTTACAATGAATTCTGTCAATATTCACCAATTTTAGCAAAATATCACTTAAGGACAAAAGAGGCGAAATATTACACATAGGCTACCTTTTTTATTTACGTTTTATCTTCAGTCCCCACAGTCAATTAATTCAGTTATCTGTTCAGTCAAATAAATGTATCCATACCTATCAGGCCCGTAGCCAGCAATTTCAAAGGGGGGTTCTTTTTCTGAAAAAGTGGACCTTTTACCATATAATCCCCATGTACCTATGTCAATTTTTACCCAGAGTGGACCTTTTTCCAGCAAAAAGGGGGGTTCTTTCGAACCCCCCGAACCCCCCCCCCGGCTACGGGCCTGCCTATTCTCCAATCTGATCTCATGTCGATGAATTCATGACATTTATTTTTCATCATGGCATTTTCAGTCATATATGTGCACAAAAAGTAATTTGCCTTGGAAGTGCTTAAGCATGGCCTCACACACGTATTGATCGATGATCGGGGGTACCCGGTGTGACAGTAATAAAAGTCCGGCCATTTGAAAGTCCTTTTCTTAGCCAATAACACTGTTAAATGATAAAACTATAAATGTATATGGAATCCTTCTGGTGAGCCATATATGAGACAAAAAATCAGAGGTTTGCAACTTCAGCTCGTCTGTGTAGTGGTTAGCGTGCAAGACTACAAGGTAAGAATTCATGAATCCTACTGTTGCATCTATGGGTTCGAGACCTACCTTTGACATGACCTTCCCCCCTATTTATTACTTGTAGCAAAATGTTTAATGGAGTTTTTATTGTCTAATATGTGTTCGAAATTCCGTGCTCATTACATCTATAACTTTTTTTTTGTTTTGTCTTTTAAGTGTCAAAGCACCAAAATAGCAAAGGGTTACTACAGAACATTACATACATATATTGCAATTTTCAATTTCTAAACCGTCTTGATTTGTCTTAAATCTCAGCCCATAGTTTCCAAGAGCAAATTTCCATCGAGTTTGAGTTTTTTTAATTTCAGCGAGTGTAAACCGAAAAATAAATCTAAGAACGGAGATCCCGCGTTTTGTGTAAAGTGATTTTTCTCTTAGGAATAAGGTTTTGAAAAAGAGAGAGAGGGAGAGAAAATAAGAGTTTCGACGCAAAACACAAAAGGTACACCCCAGTAGAAAAGGACATGAAATAATATACACTGTACATATACCTCAAAGGATGAAAATAAGGGATGCCTTTAGATGCTGCCTTATTTTGTTAAAAAATATCGGGCAAACCAGGCTCATACATATTGTGCAATGAGGGATGTGTACGCCAAAAATATGCGTTAACACGTCAAAATTTGCGTTTACTAGGTGAAAAATACAAATAAAATAAATAAATTGTTTTTGTTTCTTCATTAATATGCATAGAAACTGCCTATCGGAAAACATTGTAAAATATAAAGATAAAATGTCATATAAATAGAATAAAGCAAACGTGTATTATATCTTTTAAGGTACATACGAACCGAGCATCGGTGGAGCGTGGATTCCCAGTAACACATGTAAACCACTTCTACTAGATTCTTATATGACTCAAATAAATTCGACATGCCAAGGGATAAACTGAATAGATCACTCACTCGATCAGCCATAAAAGACCTTTAGAATGTTCCTTTCTTTAAATTTTTGGTTGTAAATTTAACCGACTTTCGTGACTTACTTTCCTGCCCCATTGACATACAGCTTAGAATGCCAGCAGAAAAATCCATTCAAACATCATTTTCGGGTAAAATTAAACAATACCTTTTTGTAATTCTCTTAGTTATACTACTTGAAACATATGCTGGCATTTGGTTGGTTTTTGTGACAAAAAATTGACTTTGTATGCATCTTTAAAACTAGTATGTCTCTATATCTATTTATTCATGTCATTTCTTGGTGTAAACTATATAGGATATGCGTTACTAAAATGTTAGGAACGCACGTCCCATTAGGACGTGCATTACTACACGTAGGACTTACATTACTTGGGAGCCTTCGTCCTACGGACATTGAATCCTAGAAACGTATGTCCTAGGACTTCCATTCCTATCAATGCATGCCCTAGGACTTGCATTCCCAGGACTTAGTGTCCGGGCGGACTTGCGTTACGAGGACGTGCACTCCTGCCACACCGGTGTAACAGGAATAAAAGTCCGACAGTAATACAAGTCCTACCTACTATAATTACGAGCCAGGAACCTAAGTCCCTGTAGGACTACTATTCCCAAGTAATGTTAGTCCTACAGACAACCATTACCAGGAACCGAGGTCCGAAGGACCTCGGTTCCTGGGGGACTTGGATTACTGTTACACCGGGATCAAAAGTGTCCAACCTCCCCACCCCCAGACAGAATACAAATGTATACTGACCACAACCAGAAGACATTTCTCTAATGTTTTCTTTGCCCTGCATCGTTACAGGTTATACCGCGTTACTGCAGTCATAATGTTTCTCTACGCTTTCACTTCGCTGGCATTCCGCGACACGCCTGCTGTCCAGCAAGGAAGCCCACCGAAACAGGTACTAGTTTCCCCTTTGACGTTTTTTTTTTACGAGTTAATCTTTTTCAACATTCCATTCTTTGTGATTTCTTAAATGAACATGTGCCTTTGCTGCGTTTGTTGTACCCTGTAACAATGTCCGTATCCTGCGCAACATTAAAGTCTATGCTATTCGTTACCATCCCGGTTTGATCATGAAATAAAATAAGCCTCTGATAAGTCTTTTATTGTTATGGCATTTTGAGAGTTCAGCTTTGTACAAGAAATCAAGATCCCTCGGATATATATATTCTTTTTTTTTTCTCTCTCTTTTTTTTTCAGCCAAGAACGGAATACGGTGCAATCGACAAGAGTATTAACTGATTTATTCCACCTGTAGTGTCCCCATAAATTCTACCACGTGGATCCATTCGTGTTACACGTATATAAACAGTTATAAGATACAGATACCGACTTCTAATTTATGGTGCTATGGTTATAAAAATAAAAGGAAACTTCTGCCTTCGTTTTGTTTGTTACACATGTTGCACTTGCTTGCTGATTCCATTTGTGTAGTTTTTATACATTCATATCTCATTCTGGTGGATACAGTGTTTGATGAGAACCAAAGCAATTCCAATCCACAAGTCTGCATAAGCTTTTAAAGCCAATGAAAACATAAGATTAAATAACACTGTGTATTGAGCAGTCAGCGTGAGTACTGAATTTGGGAAACTTTCCTTCCCCATTTTCTTCACATCGCACCGGGAAACTTTAATGCAAAGGGTATATCATCACGTCTGACGTACATCATAGCGTGAACAGATACCAGTGTATACCCCGCCCACAGGTGATGATCCGCGTCTGTTTAACTGTTCTTGTCTGTGTTACGAATAAGCACCTTGAAGAAAAATATCAATAGTTAGTTGATTCAAAATGCGGCGTGACAGGAATTGTATTTCGCTAGGAACCGCAGTCCGCTCCACATGCTCTATACTTGTGACCACCGACCAATATACTGACCACGATACTCCCCGTTAACCCTAACCTGAACACATATCATTTAAGTACGATACTACGGTTTCCATTCATACTTTACTCTGGCTGTTGGAATCATTTTTTCAGTTATCTAAAACTATATCTCGATCTGTTCATTCACCGATACATACAACGATAGAATTATAAAAATGAAGAACACTAGAAGTATTTACCGTCTTTATCTCGGTGTACTGGCGTAAGCCGTACGATCCCCTGTAAAAAAAAACATCAGTGTGAATGGCTGCCGTTAATTAATCATCCTTTTTAATTTTTAATTAACTTACTGAAATGTTACTACGAAAAAGAATACTGATTAATAGTCAAAACATTGAAACTTACAATTCCCTTCCAAGCCCGGACATCTTGTACCCACCAAAAGGTGCCGCTACAGTCGTTTCATTGTAGGTGTTAACCCTGGGGAAGATAGAAATGTCTTTCTTAAAATATAGAAATGTATTATTTCATGTTTTTCAGTCAGACTACAGAAATACCATTTAATTTTTCAGTTAAGTAGTTTAACGCTAGTATAGGGGCTGTATTTAGTGGAACTGCCTTGTACAGTAGGTAGTGCAAATCTATTATAAAACACATATCAAGAGAATTGTTTTGACTTTATATTTCTGAAAAAAAAATCAGATGACCACCACATAAAAGGTCATCTTACAACAAGACAGCAATTAGTGCCCAACAGACAATAACCATGACGCCAGTTTCTTACCAAACGGTGCCCGCCTTGACGCTGTTGGAGAATTTAATTGCCTTGTTTATATCTTGGGTGAACACGGCGGCTCCAAGCCCATATGTTGTGTTATTGGCCCTCTCGATTACTTCCTCCATAGTCTTGAACTTCATTATTTGTTGAACGGGACCAAATATCTAAATAGAAAATATGTCTCTAGTTCATGGCTTTTTACACGTTTCCCTTTCCAAGTACGTTATTCACTAAAATAGCAACAAGCATACATTTATTGACGAAAACGGGTGCATTTTCAACCAGGTTTCATGATCATTCTACGATGTTCGTAGGGGGAGCAACCAAGAAAAATTAATGAAGTTCAACTCTTACATAAAAATGTTGAGTTTGATACTTCTTTCGACCAAGCTAAGATATTACCTCTTCTTTAGCAATTCTCATGTCGTCTGTGACATCAGAAAACACCGTAGATTCCACGAACAGACCCTTGTCCCCAATACGGTTCCCTCCACACTGCAGCTTGGCGCCCTGTGAAACGCCACTTCTGATCAGGTCTATGATCTTGTTAAACTGCTCCTCATCAATCTAAAACACAAAAAATGTCTGTCTGTCTTGAAAAAGGCAAAAAAACACAGATATGCAGCTAGGCTTTTCCTTTACCTAAGTGTGCGATTACTATTATAATACAATGGTGCACATGTAAATATACGTTTCAAACGAAAGATCAAAACTGGTCAACCCCTTGATACGTCCTTGACGTATAAAATCACCGATCCTAATACCTATAAATTAAAATAGTATAACAGTCCAAATATTAACACAATCATAATTAGCTTTGTGGAGGTACTTATCAAGAACAACAATTTTTAATTTCACAATAAACTCAAACAAACCTGTGGCCCAGACTCGGTCTTGTAGTCCAGAGGGTTTCCGACCACTCTCCTAATGGCTCTCTCCTTTGCCCTCTTCACAAACTCGTCGTAAATTTCCTCCTGCACGAACGTCCTTGAACCAGCGATACAACACTGGCCCATGTTATCAAACACAGCCTTGTGGCTCTTCTCAATGGCAAGATCCACTGAGAGAGAAAACATTTAAACTTAGCTTACATGATTTAGATTAACAAAAATATAATACAGATATATACTGGTATAAATAAACTATACTGGTATAAATAGCTATAGGCCTACTGGCATAAAAAATATACTGGTAAAAATATAAAAATACCTGACACAAATACATATCTTACGGTGAGGTTTAGTCGACTTTTCTTCTTTATAAACTTGGCAACAGCTGAGAAATAGCTTGGAGTTATAAGAGAAAAGAAACATTAATGTGGTAAACTCACAGTCGGCGTCAGCGAACACCACATTTGGACTCTTTCCGCCGAGCTCCAGAGTGACACCCTTCAGGTTGGTCCTCCCGGCAGCCTCCATGATCAGGTGCCCTACCTAGATAAAACATGTACGGCTTCACCATCCCCTGATTTAAATTTATAGTCAGAGCCTTAAGTTAGACTTGATCATGTTCAATTTCACAAAATATGTCTGCTTCACCAGTACATTTATACAAGTAAGCCTAGGTACACTGCTTTGTCTTTAGTACTCTGTTCCAGCTAGAAGCGCCTCTGGGAGGGAGTGGTATAAATTAGTATACATCTTTAAAAATCTTTCAACATCCCCTTACCTCTGTTGACCCGGTGAAGGCCACCTTGTCCACGTCCATGTGCTCCGATATGGCAGCTCCTGCAGTTGGACCGTATCCAGGAACCATGTTCACGACGCCAGGGGGGAAACCAACCTTGGATTAAAAAATCACATTCAAAACTTTTGAGTTTTTGACCGAATATTTTACTCGGGATGACTGACGCACATCTATTCCACCGCGATAGAAATACGTAGTGATAAACCGATATTTAACGTATTTTCAAAGGGAATGCAGCACTTCATAACTTTCAGAGAGTAGGGAAGTCGATTTCAGTGTATTTTATAACCCACGAAGGCGAGTTCTGTAAATAGTAGTAAGTCATGGATAAAGGAATAATGAAAAAAAATTAAAGCCCTTACTTCTTTCAACAAGGCACACAAGTAGAGCGCGGTCAGTGGCGTCTGTTCTGCCGGCTTCATGACCACTGTGTTTCCGCAAGCCAGAGCAGGACCCAGCTTCCAAGCCGCCATGGGGATGGGGTAATTCCACTGAGAATATACGGTGCATCAATCTTACTACATCACAGATTACATAACAGTCACTAATCGCTTTTGTTGAAATAGTTTTGTATGTTTTTTAAAATCTATTTAACATTTAAAAAAAACCCTGTTATTCTTAATAAAAAATTACGAATTTTGTTATTGGTAAGGAATTTTAACTATATATAAGATTAAGAACTTACAGGAATAATTTGTCCGCACACCCCAATAGGCTCATGACGAGTGTAAGCAAACAGATCGCCGTCTAGAAATATGTACCATTAAATATGGTCAGTTAGTAAAGTAGTATGGCCGAAAAAAAAAAAGAAAAATCATTATTAAAATACAAAATGCTATGAAAGAATCCCCTGAACAGCAACCTGTTAAATTGCCACGATTGTTATAAAGTTGTGTCAATTGTTCTCGAAGTTTTACCCATCGGACTAAAACTTGCTATCAACGAACAGATAACCTAACTTTTATAAACGATTTAAACAAGCTATAAAATATTTAAGCAACCTACAACATACAATCACCATCAACATTTGCAAGACGTCGGTTCATTTCCTACTACCTGTATTAATGCTTACTCACCTACTGGTATGGTCTGGCCGACATTTTTGTCTGCCCACCCCGCAAAGTAGCGAATTGTTTTAGCGGCAAACTCAACCTCGCCGTATGCGTTAATATAGGGTTTACCGTTGTCCAAAGTCTCTAAACTCTGTGGAATACAAATTATGGTATTAATCTTCAGTGCAGTGGCCAGTTGTAATCGTATCTTAAAAAACTTTCCAAGATCCTAAAAACCTTTCAAGACGGACTTATTCTAAGAGCCTAACTTAAGGAAAGCTCATGATGTGCATAGATAAATATAACGCAATTTGATCTAAATCACAACAGAACTTGATATAAAATGTTCAGCTCAAAATACCGCTTGCCAGGCCTACGTATTATAACCGCAAAACAAAACGTTTTATATCTATTTATTTTTTGAAATTTATCATTCACTTATTCATTGTTGAAAAAAAAAAAAAAGATGATCATCTAGACGCAATCGGTCTTCTTGCCTTTCTTAAGAACACAGTGCCATGAGTAAGCATCTTGAATAATTTCATGAATGGATTGCAATTTGCCAACTATTAAACTCCCACTGTTTAACCACATATAGATCAAACCCATGAACAAGTCACGAGGTCAGTACTGCACGTGTTTTGAAAAGAATGCACATAACCAGTAGTGTAACTTTTCATACAGGTGCTTTTTCAAATATTGAAAATTTACTGAAATAACTCACTGCTAGGTAGACCCTGTCCCTCATCATCAAGTCAGCAAATTTGTTGAGAAGTAACCCTCTCTTTGAAGCATCCATGCGTCTCCACGGAGAACCAAGTGCAAAAGCTTCTCGGGCCGCTTTCACTGCTACATCAATATCAGCCTAAGGTATAAAAAATCAAAAATCAAATGAACAAGTCTTTATCACGAAACGGAAAAGAGAGAGAGAGAGAGAGAGAGAGAGAGAGAGAGAGAGAGAAATGGTTTACCTTGTCTCCCTCCTGGACATCACATATCTTCTCCCCTGTATACGGGTTGATAGTGGGGAAAGTCTTCCCACTGACAGAATTTACCCATTCATTATTGATGAATATCTGAAAGTAGATAAATACATAAATTGATAAAAAATGCCGTGTCGCAGGTGATAAACATGACCAAGCTATTACTAATGCTTGGATAATATGCATGAGTGCATTCGGAACAGATGATCCGAGGACTAACTGATCCGCCGACTAAATATGGCCGACCCCACTTCAAATGCCACTAATTCCCTGATGGTCTCCCTGCCTCCACGCGCGTCATTAAACGGATCAAATCTTGGTTTCGAGGCTTATTTGCTTGGCCCCTGCTTGGTGCGTGTGGAGACGGAGCGACCACTAGCAGGCCTAACCAACTACCAGACTCGGCACCTAAGGATCCTGAATTAACTTGTATATCGGACCACACTACCCGTTTTCAAGGTGTGTGTCAGATCGCATTTCGGAGTATCAGCCAGAACACCGACAGGATGAGCCCTGGCATGCTCGGCTGTCACCTTGATTGGATAGTAAACGATTGTCGTAAAATCGCTATGTGATTTTAAAACCGGGTGCATAAATTTGAAAGCCACCTAGATGCACCTTAGACTGCCACATTAATCTAATACAATGCAAAAAAAGCCCTATCAAAAGTGGTTAAAACATTCAAACCGAATGTCGTAAAGTCCCCATATATCCCCATAGAGACAATAAAATGGAGTACTCTAAAGTAAGAGTACAGTTTAAGGTTGTTCAGCCGAGCGTGGATGAGCCCGCAGTCGTGCTACAAAATTTTTTCTGGGGTATGATACTCCGAAATGCGATCTGACACACACCTTGAAAACGGGAAGCGTGGTCCGATATACCGGTTAATTCAGGATCCTTAGGTGCCGAGTCTGGTAGTTGGGTAGGCCTGACTAGGGAATAGCAGCATCACTTTTAGTGAGATGGAGTCGGCCTTATTTAGTGGCGGATCAGTTAGTTCGCGGATCATCTGTTCTGAATGCGCTCTATTTCGCAATGTGACTGTATAATTACGAAGTAAACAAGAATAATTCTCCTTTCAGTATTTTTTAAACATTTTATAAAGCATAAAAATTAATATGCTCACGTTCCACCTGCGCTTAATGCAAGCCTCTAACCCCTTCATATTGGATGCGTTTATATACTTTGATTTGCTTTTCATGAGGCATAGTACACAAATAAGCTTTCCTTTTGATGCAGGCTGTACATATTGATATTGTATCATGGTCTCTTTCAATAAAGGACAAAGCACACACATGCTAGTTTTAGTTGTGCGTGCGCAGTAGCAGTAGTAAATTATGCAGACACTTGCTCAGGCCTCTGTAAGAGGTCTACGCCGCATCGCCAGGGAACCACAACAAGTAAAAAACACACGATGTTGCATGCACCAGGTCCCATCGCCCAATGGGTGAAGCAAATGATCGGATAAATGTAGGGGCCTTTTGACACAGAGGAACCTCTCCCCTCACTTTAACAAATGAAATAAAATTCTTCCGGATCCAAACTACCAAGTTTGCAAAATACGACAATAGTCACGCAAAAGTTAATTGGATATAATGCATGTTATCAAAAATATTTTTGGATTGAGAGTTTTTCACCAATAATAAAGTTAATACAATACAGACTGAGGGACCTATTAGCAGTCTCGTAACCATTTGCAAACATGTAATGTCTTTGCTCACTGTGACGAGATAAAATGTAATTAACGCACTTTAGGCCTAAGGCTGTGTTCATAAAAGAAGTTATCGTGCTAGCAAGATCGATCTATCTCAGCAGTGATTCTCCCTAAGGCGCAATCAATGTAATCAACCCCCTCATCACTTGGATATTTAGTCGGCAAAACTTGATCATCCATGATGTTGTTCATGTTGCTTTGTCAGGGGGCGTGCCTGATAATTAAGCTGATTACAATGACTGCGCCCTAGCGAGAATCCCCGCTGAGATAGATCGATCCTGCTAGTAAGATAACTTCTAGCCTAACACGTGAGCATAGCCGTACAGAAAAATGTGTAATCGCTCAGGTACACCTGTTAATTAAACCTCTCCCTGAATGATAAAGAATTTTAATGCAGCCCACAAGTATTAGCCATTGTAAGAATGCAAAACTGCATTCTCGGTCACGGATGACCTACCGGGGTTAGGGAAGGGGGGTTACATGACGTGCTTAATCTAAACCAAAACGGCATCATCGATAGTCTATGAACAGCGCTAAACGGGGCATTTAACACCGACTACCGACTGGTCAATGTCCTTGACCTTTCGTGAAGCCATTTATGTCTTAAATTTCGTTTAATTTCATAAGTGGCAGCCACTGATATTGAAATAATGTCATCAATACTCTGCATGTAGGTACCAGACGTGATAAAGACATTTAGTTACCAGCATTCCCTGAATGCAATATGATCCATATAGACCATTGCCTAAACAAAATAGGAGAGCTGCCATGCAGTGATATATGTATTTACCTGTGTATACTTCACCTCCGGGTTTGGAATAGGCTCTGGGGTGGACATCTTGTTCTGTGCTGCAACCTTGATATCAAAATCTCTGGACAAAGGATAATGTAGCCAGACGAGAAGCTTAGGAAACCCAACTCGCAACCGAAGCCTGCAACTTGCCAAAGCGCACGCGCCACTCGGTGCACAACGTAAATAGAATGAAAGCTGTCGAAAGGGGGCGCGGTTGTGTCGGGGAATGTTTTCTTTAGTAGGCCTATTTTTTAATACGGCTGCAAAGATCACAAGCAACTATATTTCTTTTCTAAAGAACAATGAATTGCTTTCATATGTTGCACTGTATGGATAGGGGCACACAGATACTGGCACCCTTTGATCAATTACATGATAGCTATTATTACCAATAGGCCCTACTAGCTAGGCCAGCTGGTAGGCCTATTTTTATTTATTTTATAGAATTTAGGCCTAATGCATGTCGACCGCTGCAGGTCACGAGAGGTAGGGCCTACCGGTATGTTATCGGGCAAACAAAAGATTGAAACTCGTATACCCTGTTTATTTAATATGTAAAATTATGAAAAGACATAACATCAGCTAGCAATTAACGTACGGTTTTTTTAATTAAAAAGTTAAAACTTTATTTAATTTGACTTTTAAGTTAAAAGCAATCATATGAATTAATTTTGATGAGGTGATTGGATAATTCTGGTAGGCCCATCTTTATTTGCAGGGTGACATATTAGCGTAATATATAAACTTGTGAAAAATGAGTAAAGGGATTGAAACGGCATTTTGCTTTGCAGCACTGGTTTATAGATACAGAGTCAGAATTACGCCTCCTGCAAGTTCATGCCTGCGCATCACAGAATTTACCTGTTCTATGTACCGGTACATGCTTTTATTCCACACAACCTTTTTGTTTCCAGTTTTTACCGTGTCTTATCAAATGTATCCAAGTCCAAATATTGAGACAGTGTAGAGCCGCATTTTGCAACCGAACGCATTTTGCAACCGGTTGCAAAATGCGGTCAGTTGCAAAATGCGGCTCTACTTAGTAGGACCGCATTTTGCAACTGGCCGCATTTTGCAACTGCAACGCATTTTGCAACCAAAGAAAATCGTGAAAACGCATTTTGCAACTGCAACGCATTTTGCAACCAGGATTTTTTTCTAAGTGTCTGAAACAGTTTGAAGTACGAAACAGGTAGAATTGCAGTGGGGACGGGGTGCCTCGGCTAGGTACACTGATATTGGTCAAGATGCCCTTGGGGTGGTTTTATACATGGGGACGGTTGAATCAAATTTGACAGCATGATTTCTGCTGTCTACCCTTGGACCATTAAAGTATGGAAGGTAAGGCTATGGGTATTGAAAAATCTGGCTTTGTATAGGGGTATGGATGGATGGGGGTCCTTCTGGTTTTTTGTTACATTTGGTGTGGCCGCCCCTGGGGGTGGTTGATTATCTTTTTACAGTAACTTCTGCTATCTACCCCTGGACCATTAGAGTTTGGAACATGAAACCTTGTGAACTTATTAACCTATCATTAACCACGTGCGTGTGCACTTCGGAATGTTTTTGTAACTTGGGGTGTGGTTGTCCCTGGGAGTGGTTGATTCTTTATTTAACATTCCTGTTATCTGCCCCCCCCCCTCCTTATTAGGGTTACGAGCATGAAACTTTCGGGACTGTTAAGCTTGTCATTGAGGATATGCATGGGTCCTTAGGGAATGTTATCATGCTTTGGGGCGTGGCTGTCCCTGGGGGTGGTTGATTGTATTTTCCATTTCGTTATTTCTGACTATCCACCCCTAGAGTTAGGAACATGAAACGTTGGGGATTGATAAAGCCGTTGTTTTTATGAATGTGCATGGGTCCTTGAGAAATGCAGACACCAGTAGCAGCGCATACAGCACTAAATGAACTTCAAGACGTATGCACAAACATAGGTCAAAGAATCCCATCAAAATCTCATTCAAGGCCCCACATAGCAAAATTTAGCTATTAAACAAGCTTAAAAACAGCTCAAAATACGAACACCGTTGTTTACTTTTAGGTTGGTTAATATTTCTTTCCAGATTCGCGGTCAAATTATTTACTTGTAAACCGCTATGAGGAAATCCAACGCTGACAATCAATAACCAGTTTCAATCATTTAGTTTTCACTCGTCCCCTGTTCAGTTACAGTCTAATGATATGTGGGGAATTACACTCTTTAGAATAAAACCAAGACAATAGCTTCATGAACTTAACTTACTAATCAGAAGACCCTATACATAATGTATTATAGGATTTTACGGACTACGAAAGGTATTGCGTGAAGTTACCGAAATTGTGAATAATTAAATGTCTCAGACATGCTGTTGTGTCTTAATACAAAACAAACATGTTTATTACCCATTAACATTAATCAATATCGTGTGTTTTATGTTTAAGAACAACAGGACTTGGACCCTAGGATTCCTAAGAGTATGAGGTCTTGAATGGGTTTTTAATTAACTTGACCTACATTCAAGCATACCGCTGAAGGTGTTATTAAGTGCCGTCTGTTGCTCTCTCTGCATTTTCCTTCCTAACTCGAATACCGCCTCCAGATTCACACATCCTACTCGCTGGATCGGTCCAACTCTGGGGGGGGGATCTCACTTAAGTACAATCAATGGAATCAGCTTAATTGTCTGGCACGCCACCAATCACCCCATCACCTCAGGGACAGTCACATCCTAAGTCACATTAAAATCCCCATGTAATCATGTACCAAAGACTCATGCTCCTAACTCAAATGGTCTAGGAGGATAGGAAAGAAATTACGGTAAAAATATTACAGTCAACCATCTCCAGGAAACGTATTTTTAACAGAATCCCATCTTCTAAAAGATAAAAAGAAAGAAGAAAATTCACTAAAAGTTTTTATTCGGACTGCTGGTGTAAAGTTAACTGTATACTTGAGTAAAGCGTCATCTAGTGCACAAATAGGTTTGCAAATTATGCAAAATGACAAACTTGAGAGAGTAAGCGTAACTCTTGTTTTTATTTTATTTCTGATAGGAAATAGTATCACATTATTCGTTTTAGAAATAGTGAGGCGTAACCTTCTCGAACAAATGTGTTTTAATTTTATCTTAAACAGTTGCAAACCTTTAGCTACATTGGGTTCTGAAATTGTATTTGCAAAAACTAAGTTTAAATGCAGTAATAAACATTTAAAAAATCCATCACATAATAATTTCTTGTGGAAATTTAGATTTATAAAACTATTATACGTTAAAACTAAACATAACAAATGCTATTTCAGAAGCAAACTTGGATTGTCAACTCGAGAGACCCTTTGTCACAATCAATAAGAAATTGATAGTTTCTGGCGGTTTATTTACTAAATTTGCCTTCATATGTCTTCTTTTTCCAAAATACTCGCTGGACATTGTACCACCCTGCTTCCTTAGAAGGCTGAAATGTGACCCACGCCAAAATCCACTTTGATGATGCAATTATGCTTTTTAGATTTTCTACAATACCACTGTAGCGTCCTGCCAATGAAATGATTTTCCTCATTGACAGAGTCATGTTATATTGTAGATGTTTCTCGATGCTGTCCCTGAAATAAACTTTGTTGGGTGGTATTTTGTCAACAATGTCACGGAAATGTGAGTTGACAAGTTTCAGATTTTGCCGTTGTAGCTGATTATTGTCTCCTATGGTTTTCCTTATGATGATCTCTAATACATCTAGAGGTAGCTTCACATTTTGTTCTGAATCGTTTTGTTCACTGTCTGAATTAAACAAATATTCGTGATCGCTGACCGGAGACGGCATTCGTAAACCGTTTGTCGACTGCGAGATAGATTCTTGTTCGTGATCTCTCACTGCCTGGGATGACGGCGCGTTGGAATAGCGTTCGTTGTCGCTAATATCTGGGGATGGACGCGCGTCGGAATAGCGTTCGTGGTCGCTAATATCTGGGGATGGAGGCGCGTCGGAATAGCGTTCGTGGTCGCTAATATCAGGGAATGGAGGAGCGTCGGAATAGCGTTCGTGGTCGCTAATATCTGGAGATGGAGGAGCGTCGGAATAGCGTTCGTGGTCGCTAATATCTGGAGCTGGAGGAGCGTCGGAATAGCGTTCGTGGTCGCTAATATCTGGAGATGGAGGAGCGTCGGAATAGCGTTCGTGGTCGCTAATATCTGGAGATGAAGGCGCGTCGGAATAGCGTTCGTTCCCACTAAAATCCTGGGACGGAGGCGAGCTGGAATAGCGTTCGTGGTTGCTAATATCTGAGTCATAGCTTTTGCCCCTGTCATGATATTTCGTTAGTGATATATAATGTTCCCCCTCGTTTTCAGGGAAATGTCCCAAGAAGAGCATTCTTCCAAAGCTATTAGCCTCTACATGTACATTATATTCTGGTCCGCGGGAAGATAATATTTTAAACCTCACATTAAATATGCGGCACATAGCATGGAGAGTTACATGGTCACCGTAGGTTCCTAGTTTGCTCATTTGATCAACATACTGTTTCCACGGATCATAAACAAAATTCCAGTATAATTGCTTATGTTTTTTTAATTCTAACACAACGTCGCGGCGAAGTGTTTGGTGGGACCGCTCTATACCAATCGATCGTAACTGATCAGCAACTGCAGAAAACTGGCAGTTTCCATCCGGTGTTGGGTCAAGCGAGATTGAAAATCTTTGGCTGTGGAATACTTCTTTGGCTGTATCACGTGTCAACGGAATGTACAAATCAGAGTTATTCTTCCGAATGTTACGCTTTGTTATGTTTTCTGGAGGAAATTTGGCTTTTTGTAATTTACCGTGGATTTCATATTCGATAGTATATTTCCCATTATTGTATTCTAAAATTTTCCCATTGTGGACTGTAAGTTTTTTCTTGCTGCTTTTAACCCTGACAAGGACAGATTCCCCGGCATTGTATTTTGTCACGTGTAGTTTTTGCCTCCGTATCATATCAGCGGACGCCCTCTTTAAAGATTCTGCTGCCTTTTTCCTAATGTCATCTCCTCGGCCAAAGTACACATCAAAAGGACTGGCATTTCCAAGAATTCGTTTTGTCTCTCTATTTAAAATCTGAGCGTATGCTTTTAATTTAGAGGGCCACGAAAAGAATTTATTTCTCAATTTGTCAAATTTTATTTTTCTACGAAGAGTCCTATGTATTCTTTCCACTCTTCCTTGTGACTGAGGATGGTACGGCCTGCTGGTTATATGTGTAATATTTAGATTGTCTAAAAACCGTTTAAATTTTCCTTTGAATTCACTTCCTTGATCAGTCTGGACGATGGCAGGATTACCAAACGTACGGAAGAGTCTTGCGATGATTCGGGAAATAGGCCTACTGTGTTTTGAAACAAGTGGAAACAACCAAACAAACCTACTGAAGACATCTATAACTGAGAGTACATATCTATACTGTCGTCCATGGTAAATCCCAGTGTCATCTACGCCTATGTCCATTAAGTCGAATTGAAGCTGGTGGTGTGGAGAAGGTGATGTGACGGGAGTAAATACGGGCTTGTCCTTGAAGACGGCATTCAGCTTCTGATGTATCGGGTGGAACTGTAGATGTGAATGAACAACCCTTTCCGACAAACCTTGATATCGTTTGTGAATACTGTTAATCAGTTTTCTTGCTCCCGATCCTTTGACAGATTTATAAGATTTATTAACAATTCGCTCCACGTCCTTTGGGCATATTACCTCCTTGTTTTCAAATAGCAACCTGGCTTCTTTAACGGTGAATTTTTTTTGGTTCCGATAAAAGCGGTAGTAAGCTCTCTTCTCATGAATGTTCATCTCTGATTTTTTCTTTTGAAAGGTCCCTTCCACCATTTGTTTTAGCGCATTGTATGTTGCTTCATCTTTAATCACGTTGACTCTTTGCGAGGTGTAGACAAAATGTACTTCATGTAAAATTACACTGAACAGCACTGGTAGTATAATTTTAGCGAACAACATTTTTAAATGACCACTCAGGAAAACTTTCCAAGTGACAATGAGAATCTTAACAGATGCACGCTAACTTATGGGTGTCAACACGGTATACAGGGGGGTCGCTAGCCCACTCAACTAAACAGATTCTAGATCTTTTTCAAATTAGCAAAGACATGTCTCATTTGTTAGATAGACAGTATATGGGTTTTTAATGACATCCCTACCAGGACATGTTGAAAACGTAGATGATATTTGTAAATCTCACACTCAGCCTTAGATCTTGTGAATGCATGCGAAACTTTAATCTTTAATAGTTATAATTAGTGTTTATATCAACCCAAAATTGAAGTCGTAAACAGGAACGGAGATTTCGGCAATTTAGTGTGACCCTGGGAACCTCACTGTATCTTATATATAAGAGTAAAGTTCTTCTGCTGGCTGAGAAGATTTTCATAATCATACTTTCCGACTTGTTTATAATACGCAATTACAGGTGAATAATTAAATCACCAAATTTGTCCTATATCTTTATTTTAATTTAATTTTTATCTCAAAGGATGGTCTTATGTCCCATTCAGAATAGGGGACTAACAATTCGAAGGTCAAACGTCACGACCCACTAAAAAGTTTGCCGTCTAATCCGCTAATAGACACTGAATAGATATCATAAGAAGTATTCACTTATGTCGGTCATATTTGAACCTCGGACTAGTTAGTCCACTATTCTGGATATGGCCTTAAGAGGGCCATAATGAACTATTTAATAGATAGTAAAAACTACAATATAAAAATGAATAGAATCAAACATCCCCAGGACAGACACATCCTAAGTCCCACGCCACACTAAAATTCGAAGGGCCGGTGCACATCCCAATAATGACAAGTGAATTATTCCTTTCGTTTCATGTTCTTATTTGCAATGGTCTAAGAGCAGATAGCATAAATAAAGATGTAAAAATGATAATTATTATAATAAAAGGAAAAAAACAACCCTTGGGGAAAAACACACCCCAAGTAACAATAGAATATCGAAGGGCCCGTGTACATCAACAATGACAGGTCTATTAATCCTTTAAACATTTTATGTTCCTAACGCTTATGGTCTTCTGGTAAGGGTTAATCACAATGATTATTTGATGAAAAATATAAACCTCCAATTAAAAATATATTGCGGTCATTTGACGCATATTTATCTCAGGCGTCAGTGTAACATTATGTACTTCTTTTCTGTAAATGTCAGTGAAGGCCAGAAAGCTCCATTAGTGACATTCTACTACAGCTTTCACATGATAGACTTAGGAAATCGAAACGTTAATAAACATTTTGTTAAGTATGTGCATGGAATTTTGTTTTTTTTTTAATAGGGGGTGTGGCCGTCCGTAGGGGTGGTTGATTGTACTATTTACTTAGTTTTTTTCCTACCTACCCTTATATCTTTAGAATTAGGAAATAAAAGCGTCGGGGATTAATACACTATCGTAAGAAATGTGCATGGGCACTTCGGAAATTATTGTGACATGGAGTGTGGTTGTCCCTCGGGGTGGTAGATTCTAATTTTACAATGTATTTTCGGCTATGTAGCCATTGTATCGGGCATTAGAGTTAAAAACTTGAAACGTAGCTACAGTATCATTTGGGATGTTGAAGGGTATTTCTTTTTTCTTTCTTTTTTACTTGGGCTGTGGTCCAGGGGGTGGTTGAATATAACTAGACGGTGTAATTTCTGCTATCTACCTTAAGACCATATAAGTTAGGAACGGAAGGCTATTGGGATTGAAAACGTCTTTAGGAATGTGTATGGGTCCTTCTGGATTTTTGATGACATAAATTGGCTTTAGAAGTTCCTGGGGGTGGTTGAATCTTATTTTTTGCATCGTTTTCTACTATCTAGCCTTAGAGTAAGTAACATGAAACGTTGGGTATCGATAAACCATTCACATTTTATGAATGTGCATGGGTCTTTGAGGAATGTAGAGAACAGCAGCAGCGCACATAGCACTGACTGACTAAACTGACTTACAGTCGTAGGCATGAATATAGGTCAAGGAATCCAATTAAAAACTAATTCAAGGCCTTACACACTCAGGAATCCTAGCGTTCAGCTAGCCGTTGTGTCTTAAAATAAAATAAACATGTTAATAAATAAAAAATAGTAATTAGCATGTGTGTAGAGATACAGAGGCTATGCACAAGGATTCCTGAAAGTATGAGGTCTTGCACGGGTTTTTAATTAACTTGACCTACATTCAAGCATACTGCTAAAGGTCTGTTATTAAGTGCTGTTTGTTGCTTTCTCTGCATCCCCCTTCCTTCTTAACTCGAAGACTGCTTTCAGATTCACACATCCCACTAGCTGCGTCGGTCCAACTCTACAGGGGTTCTCACTTAAGAACAATCAGTGAAATCAGCTTAATTGTCTGACATGCCACCGATCACCCCATCACCTCCGGGACAGTCACACCCTAAGTCACACTAAAATTCCCCTGCGCCCATGCACCGAAAACTCATGTGCCTAACTCGAATTCTCGAGAAGGAGATGAAAGAAATTGCGGTGAAAATATTACAGTCAACCATCCTCAGGGACGGTAACTCCCCAAGTCACCAAAAAATTCCGTTTTGTCCAAGCACATCTCTAACGATCTCAACGACCCCTAGGGACAATCAGTGCCTAGGGACAATCAGTGACCACGCCCCTTTCTTACGATAGTGTATTAATCCCCAACGTTTTTATTTCGTAATTCTAAAGATATAAGGGTACATAACAGAAAACAAAATGTAAAATATTACAATCAACCACCCCTAGGGACGGCCACACCCCCAATTTACAAATAAATAATAAGTGCCCATGTACATGCCTAACAATATCTTTATTATTCCACGACGTTTCGACTTCAAAACTCTAATGGTTTAGAAAATAGCTATGAGAAATATAGATTATATATTTTCCCCGCCCCAGAGGCAACCTGACCAGTTTCAGCGTACCCAGCCAAAAACAAACCCGTCCCCACTGCAATTCTACCTGTTTCGTACTTCAAACTGTTTCAAACACTTAGAAAAAAANCGCACTTATTCTCAGAGCCTAACTTAGGGAAAGCTCATGATGTGCATAGATAAATATAACGCAATTTGATCTAAATTACAACAGAACTTGATATAAAATGTTCAGCTCAAAATACCGCTTGCCAGGCCTACGTATTATAACCGCAAAACAAAACGTTTTATATCTATTTATTTTTTGAAATTTATCATTCACTTATTCATTGTTGAAAAAAAAAGATGATCATCTAGACGCAATCGGTCTTCTTGCCTTTCTTAAGAACACAGTGCCATCAGAACGCATCTTGAATAATTTCATGAATGGATTGCAATTTGCCAACTATTAAACTCCCACTGTTTAACCACATATAGATCAAACCCATGAACAAGTCACGAGGTCAGTACTGCACGTGTTTTGAAAAGAATGCACATAACCAGTAGTGTAACTTTTCATACAGGTGCTTTTTCAAATATTGAAAATTCACTGAAATAACTCACTGCTAGGTAGACCCTGTCCCTCATCATCAAGTCAGCAAATTTGTTGAGAAGTAACCCTCTCTTTGAAGCATCCATGCGTCTCCACGGAGAACCAAGTGCAAAAGCTTCTCGGGCCGCTTTCACTGCTACATCAATATCAGCCTAAGGTATAAAAAATCAAAAATCAAATGAACAAGTCTTTAATACAAAATGGAAAAAAATTATCTAGGAGAGAGAGAGAGAGAGACAGAGAGAGAGAGAGAGAAATGTTTTACCTTGTCTCCCTCCTGGACATCACATATCTTCTCCCCTGTATACGGGTTGATAGTGGGGAAAGTCTTCCCACTGACAGAATTTACCCATTCATTATTGATGAATATCTGAAAGTAGATAAATACATAGATTGATAAATAAAAAATGCCGTGTTGCAGGTGATAAACATGACCAAGCTGTTTCTAATGCTTGGATAATAAGTATGAGTGCATTTGGAACAGATGATCCGAGGACTAACTGATCCACCGACTAAATATGGCCGACCCCACTTCAAAAGCCACTAATCACTGATGTTTTCCCTGCCTCCACGCGCGTCATTAAACGAATCAAATCTCGATATCGAGGCTTATTTGCTTGGCCCCTGCTTGGCGCGTGTGGAGGCGGAGCGACCACTAGGGAATTAGCAGCATCACTTATAGTGAGGTGGGGTCGGCCTTATTTAGTCGGCGGATCAGTTAGTTCGCGGATCATCTTTTCTGAATGCGGTCTATTTCGCACTGTGACTGCATATTTACGAAATAAACAAAAATAATTCTACTTTCACTATTTTAAAAGTATTTTACAGCATTAAATTTAATATGCTCACGTTCCAGGAGCCTCCGCTTAATGCAAGCCTCTAACCCCTTCATATTGGATGTGTTTATATTACTTTGATTTGCAATGCATGAGGCATAGTACACAAATAAGCTTTCCTTTTGATGCAGGCTGAACATATATATTGCAATCGTATCATGGTCTCTTTCAAAAAAGGACAAAGCACACACGTGCTAGTTTTAATAATGGACTTGTGCATTACCGGAGGTTTATTATGCAGTCACTTGCTCACTTGCTCAGGTCTCCCTGACAGTTAGGTCTACGACGCATCACCTGGGAACCTCAACAAATATAAACACGACGTTACCAGGTCCCATCGCCCAATGGGTGCTGAATATGATCGGATAAGTGAAGGGGCCTATCGACCAAGAGGACCCTCTCCCCTCTCTTTCACAAATGAATTACAATTCTCCTGGATCCAAATTACCAAGTTATCAAACTATGACAATAGTCACGCAAAAGTTAATTGGAAATAACACGTTTTAAAAAATCTCTGGATTGAGAGTTTTTCACCAATAATACAGTTAATATAATACACACTGAGGGACCTATTAGCAGTCTCGTAACCATTTGCAAACATTAATGTCTGTGCTCACTGTGACGTGATAAAATGTAATTAACGCACTTTAGGCCTAAGGCTGTGTTAATAAAAGAAGTTATCGTACTAGCAAGAACGATCTTTCTCAGCGGGTATTCTCCCTAAGCACCCCGCACACGGTAAGCAATTGGCGCGCGCCACTTGCGCTGAGCAAGATGCTCGGGCTCCTCAGCTCCCCGCAAACGCTGCGCTCTTTGCTCAGCAGAGGTGCCTCCCGGCCTGCCCCTAGCGGACGCACTGTGAACTGTGGGATCATGTGTTTAAGGAAACATTACATATTGTTGTTTTTTCTGATAGTAATGGATAATGGTGACCACGTTAATCAATCAGACTAACTATAACTGTGTACATTTTTGTTGACTTCGCTGGGGGCTGGCATTTTTGTTTGTTTCCGGCTACTGGCACATGCGCATTGTTGGCATGGCGTGAGCAATCGGCGCTTGCACCCCGCACACGCTGAGACATTTGCCTCAAGAGACCAAAAAAATCAAACACGTGAGAAATTTTGCTCAGCCGCGCGTGAGGCAAAAATCTCACCAAAATACCCCCGCACACGATGAGGAAACGGCGCAGCGCAAGTGGCGCGCGCCAAATGCTCACCGTGTGCGGGCAGGCGCAATCAATGTAATCAGCCCCCTCATCACTTGGATAAAGTCGGCAAAACTTGATCGTCCATGATGTAAGCTGATTACATTGACTGCGCCCTAGCGAGAATCCCCGCTGAGATAGATCGATCCTGCTAGAATGATAACTTCTATTCTGAACACAGCCTAACACGTGAGCACAGCCAAACAGAAAAATGTGTAATCGCTCAGGTACACCTGTTAATTAATCCTCTCCCTGATAAAAAATTTTATGACCTGCACAGATGATCTGAAAATACAAAATGCACCCTGCTATGTAACAGGCTGCTAAGCAAATCAAACCGCAATATCCAGATTGATCTATTACTATTTAATTCGGCCCTCAAGTACTGTATTAGCCATTGTAATAATGCAAGACTGTAGGCCTATACTACATGTACATTCTCGGTCACGGATGACCTACCGGGGTTGGGGGAGGGGGGGGGGGGGTTACATGACGTGCTTAATCTAAACCTAAATGGCTCTTGCTTGTATCGTGTTCTAGCTGTAAGTTGTACCAGTGGGCCTATGCACTAGCTGTCACTGGCGTTTCTGATAGTCTATGAACAGCGATGGACGGGATCTTCAACACCGACTGCCGACTGGACCGTACTGCCCTTGACCTTTCGTGACTTGAGCCATTCATGTGTAGTGCACACATGCCTTTCGTTTAATTTCATAAGTGGCAGCCACTGATATTGAAATAATGTCATCAATACTCTGCATGTAGGTGCCAGACGTGATAAAGACATTTAGTTACCTGCATTTCCTGAATGCAATATGATCCATACAGACCATTGCCTAAACAAAATAGGAGAGCTGCAGTGCTATGTATTTACCTGTGTATATTTCACCTCCGGGTTAGGGATAGGTTCTGGGGTAGACATCTTGTTGTGTGCTGCAACCTTGATATCAAAATCTCTGGACAAAGGATAATGTAGCCAGACGAGAATCTTAGGAAGCCCAACTCGCAACCGAAGCCTGCAACTTGCAAGAGCGCACGCGCCACTCGGTGCACAATGTAAATAGAATGAAAGCTGTCGAAAGGGGGCGCGGTTGTGTCGGGGAATGTTTTCTTTAGTAAGCCTATTTTTTCGACATAGCTTTTAATACGGCTGCAAAGATCACAAGCAACTATATTTCTATTCTAAAGAACAATGAACTGCTTTCATATGCTGCACTGTATGGATAGGGGCATACAGATTCTGGTAGCCTACCCTTTGATCCAATACTAGCTAGGCCAGCTGGTAGGGGGCCTATATATTTATTTTATATGATTTAGGCCTAATGCATGTCGACCGCTGCAGGTCACGAGAGGTGGGGCCTACCGGTCTGTTATTGGGCAAACAAAAGATTGAAACTCGCATTCCCTGTTTATTTAATATGTAAAATGATGAAAAGGTAGGCCTATCTTTATTTGCAGGGTGACATAGGCCCTATTAGCGTAATATATAAACTTGTGAAAAATGAGTAAAGGGATTGAAACGGCATTTTGCTTTGCAGCACTGGTTTATAGAAACAGGTTCATGCCTGCGCATCACAGAATTTACCTGTTCTATGTACCGGTACATGCTTTTATTCCACCCAACCTTTTTGTTTCCAGTTTTTAACCGTGTCTTATCAAATGTATCCAAGTCCAAATATTGAGAAAGGCACATTTCGTACATGCAAGTAGCCTATGCTATATACAAATAGTAACAACATTCAACTCCAACAAGCTGTCGCATTTTACAAGAGCTATATTTCATAACCCGTGGGTATGTCTGTAAGGAAGCAAAATTTTACTTAGGGTTGCATGGGACAGAAGTTAAGCATACAAAGAAAAAAAAAGAGACGAGGCACGTATGGAAGGTGGCTACATATACACGATAACAAGACATATCAGTTGACCGGAGTCTCATCGGCGACGTAATATTTCAATAATTTAGTGAAACATATAATTTCGACTTAAAGAAGTGGGAAATTCTTCCTGCACCTACACTGTAAGACTTGCAAGTATGGTTGAGACAATTATCCAACCTCCAGCACCTACTACGGTGAGATGGCACACATGTTCTCTATCTAAAATTTGGGATTCGACGTGATAAAATGATTTTAAAAGTGTTATCACCACTTCCATCAGTTCTGGCTGCATTGAAAACATTTATCTTCAACAAGTGCGAGTATTAAGAGAGCATCAATGACGTGATTACTCGCTTATGGAAGTTAAATTCATATTAGAGTCATTTTAATTGTTAGTTTGTCATCGTCTGTCTTCTTGGAGTCTGGAACCCTTTAACTGTTCTTCTCGGGACAGCGAATGAGCACCTGCAAAACGGCAAACCACTGATAAGCGTTCGTCACAGAAATTTTTATAACTTTATGAGTTTACACATAATAAATTTATTCCAATACAGCGTCTTCATTATATAGTAGGTTTTTAAACTTGTCTTAAAAAGTCTACTCACCGTCTTAACTTCCGTATACTCTTTCAAACCATAGGAACCCCTGAAAATAAAAGAGTTATGACCCAGTGTGTGCGTGGTTCTATATAAGTGTGACTGCCATGATATATAGTTAAAATAAAGCAGTTTATATTAACAAATCCTAAGTTTTCAAAGTATCAAATATCCTTCACGTTCTTTACACAATTCTAGGAAATTTACAAATCATGATGGAGAACAATATATAATCGAAATCCATGGCTTCAACACTTATATAAAAATAGGAACATGGACTTTTCAAAAAAGAAAAAAAATCCTGAAAATTACACGATTTCCCTTTGATCACCTAGGTATATGTGTGACCTTTCATCAAAACTGTTGGGAAATTGTGTGTTTTTTTTTTCTTAAATTCTCATTTTCACCGTCAAGAGCATAACTCACCATTATGTATTTCCATTATAAGAGTGACTCAAAAACTAAAAATTAGAACTCAAAAACAAGATTTTAGATTGGGTCTCTTTAGACGGTTTTCGTTATGGTATACACCTTAGAAAAGCGTTGAAATTTGAAAATTATTTTTTGGTATGCAAGTTCTAACGCTTCATGTGTGTTCTTAAGATCACAGTAATGGTATCCAGATTTATTTTCATTGTTTTTCTTACATTTCCCTGCCAATACCAGACATCTTGAATCCACCAAAGGGAGACTGCAGTCCACCGCCGTAGGTGTTCACCCTGGGGAGTACAGTAAATTATAACAAATAAAGACAGGCTTTCGGTCTCTCATGCTAACAGTATACAATTGTTTTTATGAAACTAGAGACATATTATTTTTACTCTATCAAACTATGACACTAGTTGGCCCAATTAGACACTTTTGACCTTGTAGAGTCAATTGAGAATAAGACAGAGCAGTAAAACCCAATTTAAAACAAGAGCCAGTGACTTAGCTACAAATGTAGCGCCATTGTTATTAAGCGTAAAGTCACCTGGTTCACAATTTGACAAAAAATAAATAAATAAATAAATAAATAAATAATAAATAAATAAAATAAAATAAATACAGCTCATGCCAAGTGATAGGGTAGGGGCAAGTTTGAACTCTTTATTTTTACAGTTAGCAATACATGTGAACTCCATGGAATGTATTTTCATTATATTACTTAGCTTTTGAGACTCTTTGCTATATTTGTAGTCTATATGAGACAGATATATTGATGTTTCTATACGTTTCCTTAAATATTTTGAATTTGTGTTAAAACAAAACAAGGGCCCAGGCGTGGCTAGTGCGCACCCTTTTCATAAAAATTGAGATGGAAGGTAAACTATTACCTTCAGGTTTCCAGATTTTTTTCACAAGGAAGTTCATTTATATACCCTATTTGTGGTATAAGTATAAGAATCGTGCTGTAATTTTTTTGCAGAGTAAATTCATTTCAGAAATGTCTAATCCAAGTGTGCAAACTTGCCCCGTACAGGGAACAAGTCCGCACACATACTAAAATCCAAAAGAAATATATAATTTTATTCACAAGACCTATTCAAAATAAAAAAATTGTCACAGTAAAAGTCATACATCCTGCATAATATAAATATAATGAGTAACTGTAAAATTGCACTCAACTCACGAAAACAGACACCAAATGTAGACTTTAAGATAAGTTACCAAGGTAAAAAATAGCCCTGCTTTCCCCTATCTGTGAATCAAGCAGGCTCCAACGAACCAAGGGGTCCAACTATCCACATGTACACGTTGTTTAATTTTTAAGAATGGACTACGTATAGACATTGCTGTAAAAAGTTCAATTACTAAACTTTAGTTTTATACCCTATACACATCTTTTATGCCATTATGGGTCTATGAAAATAGTTTTTAAAATTTTCTTCAACAAAGTTTCTTTCAGATGTAAAAAAGGTGAGAATTATTTTTCAGTTTCATGATCACTTTATAAAAATGATATTATATGAAATGCGTATTCTGTACGGTAATAAAGAATCTCACCACACAACGCCCGCCTGAACGCTGCTGGAAAACTTCAATGCTTTGTCGAGGTCTTTGGTGAACACCGCGGCAGCCAGGCCGTATTTGGTGTCGTTTGCCCTCTCAATCACCTCCTCCATGTCCTTGAACTTTATAATTTGCTGAACTGGACCGAAGATCTAAAATAGCATTTTTCTCAACTTTTCAAAATCATATCTACTGCATTTGGACATATCGGTAAACATCTTGTAATTGTGAAGGTTTCAGTGTTCAGTAAAGAGAAATCGAGTTACACATATCAGAGAAAATGACTGAATAACTTTAAATATATATTTTAAAGGTAAAGACTGAACTAAAAATTTCTTATGTAAAGAAAAAATCACCTCCTCCTTAGCAATGCGCATGTTATCCGTGACGTCAGAGAAGACGGTGGACTGCACGAAGTATCCCTTGTCCCCAAGGCGTTTCCCTCCACACTGCAGCTTGGCGCCTTGAGCGATCCCACTCTGGATCAGCTCCAAGATCTTGTTGAACTGCTCCTCATCAATCTGTGAATGAGGAACAAGCGAAATTTTTTAGTGCCACAGAGAAGAAAACTGGCGGTGACAACTTTGCATTCTGTGTAGTTAGACTACTTACATGTATTTGAAGAATCAGACTACGTATTTAATGAATTAGTCTACGTATTTAAAGGATGGTTTATCACTCACTAGAATGAATAAAAACTAACAAAACATAAGAATTGATGAAATCGAGAGGAGAAGGAATAATATTCAACAACACTGCATACTTGTGGTCCGGACTGAGTGGTTTTCTCAAAGGGGTTTCCGACATTTCTCTTAATGGCGAGCTCAGTGGATCGTTTCACGAACTCATCGTAGATATCCTCGTGTACAAATGTCCTGGAGCCGGCGACACACACCTGTCCCGAGTTGAAGAACAGTCCATCGTGGCTTCGCTGGATGGCCATGTCCACTGTGACAGAATGGGGAACATTTATCATTAATAAACATAAGTGTACTGTTTATGCTACACCTGTATAAATAATATTTCCTTACACAATTTTTGTACACTGAGTACCGTCAGGGAAAACGGTTCACTCTCCGATCATTCGGGTATGTTTCCTAACTCCGCACGTTCCATATCTGTGGGTTACTTCTTGCAGTTGGTTGTTTATCTGTCAAAGCTGCTTACAACTTCATTTTTAAAATAAATCTTCAAACACTTCACAACAAGCTTACATGCCTGCAAATAATTTTTACATTGGTTTTAAAGATCGTATACGGTATCCTTGTGTAGAAGGACCTTCATGTATGCTGCCCTGTGCAATCTAGAATATGTGACTTTTTGAATAATTTACTTCACCGTTGTGTGATTTACTCACAATCAGCATCAGGAAACACAACACAAGGGCTCTTGCCTCCCAGTTCCAGAGTAACACCCTTCAGGTTGGACTTAGCAGCTGCCTCCATAATCAACTGGCCAACCTGAAAGACAGGTGTGTCCACAACGTTAGATATCACCTCCAGTGACTATAACAGCAATGCACAATTTTCATTATGAATGCTTCCAGTCTGGCGACTTTGGTAAAACGCAGAGGATACCTTAGCAATTAACGCTTTCTTTTGTTTTAATAATGAGACTGAAAAATTGAACCACGTTTCAAATGAACACTCCAACAGACTTTATAAGGTCACCTAGCCAAAATCTAAAACCTGGCACCAGTTGCACTTTTATCCCTAATGGATCTTTACATGTCCAATATATTGTTCAGCAGTGGCTGTTTTACATTCCATGCTTTATTTTAAAGGTATGACAAATGTTCATTTTGCCCTAAAATGGGATTTTCTTGGGGTAAACGACAATTTCCCATACTTACCAATGGTAAATGAATCCCTTCCAACATTCACAGTTAGTCCATGTTTTTTTTAAAGTTTGTTTGTATTTAATAATCTCTTAAGTAGCTAGCCATCTATAGAGGTCACGTGGTCCGATGACTACACAGACTCCAGAAAAATTGCGATAACCGTCGTTTTGGTGGTAAAATAGAATTTATTGTTTTACATATAAGTTTTTTTAATGCATTTATTATGAAATATGAATCTCATACGAAGAGTGGTTATCCCTTAAAAATATATTATTATTGTGTTCTTTATCAAATGTATCACTTCAACCCACGGGCTGTGATTTAATGAACTGACTATTAAAGAAAGTAGTGTATGTGATCTTGAACACCCTGTGGCGTGTCTTGTACCTGAGTTGACCCAGTGAAGGCCACCTTGTCCACGTCCATGTGCTCTGATATAGCAGCGCCAGCAGTTGGGCCGTATCCAGGAATGATGTTCACAACTCCAGGAGGGAAACCGGCCTAGAAAGAAAAATAATAAATAATATAGAGCCTACTGTCTCAACATTTGATACTTTTGTTTGAAGAACTATTTAATTTTTGATGCCCAAATATTACTTAACGATAAAATAAGTTCGACTGTTAAAATATGAACTATTTAAACCTCATGGTATCTACGTGTAGAATAATCAGGAAAATGATAGCAGTGTAAAGCTGCATTCGGAAAAAAGGCCCTTGCAGCAGTCGTACCTCCTTTATCAGGGAGCACAGGTAGAGCCCGGTTAGCGGTGTCTGTTCCGCAAGCTTTATAACACACACGTTCCCACACGCCACAGCCGGGGCTAACTTCATGGCCAAGCATGGGAGAGGGAAGTTCCACTAAAATGAAAACAAAATTTTCACAGTTGTGCTTATCTATTCATTTGTTTTATCAAGGAAAATTAAATTCGAGTCAACTTTCGAAAAATGTGCGTATGATCCATAATTTTAATTTTCTTAAACCTGCCTACTTACTGGAATGATTCCACCGCAAACTCCGATAGGTTCGTGGCGAGTGTAGGCAAACAGGTCACCATCTGGAAATACAGTGTGGTTATCAGCAACAATGACATTTGGCAATAACATTTATAATAATAATTTATTGAGCACATGAAATGAGTGTACATTTATAGGCTCTCTACACTACTAATTATAATATACTTAAGTTTAAATACATGTACATAGCTTTATGTATGCAGAACTTTATTGAGCGCTCGTAATTTGTACAAATGTATGTAATACGCAAAAACGAACATGAAGTTGCAGGGCTTCAAATTTTGTCATAGATGTCATAACTTTGAAAATACAACATAACGACAAAAAATTTGCTTTTAAAGTGTGACGATACTTACCAACGGGAATAGTCTGTCCAACGTTCTTATCTGCCCATCCTGCGAGGTACCGGAGTATTGACTCGGTGAAGTACATGTCGCCGATGGCGTATGTGAACGGTTTGCCGTTGTCCATCACCTCCAGACTCTTAAAGTTGAGTTTATAAAGATGTAATATGTTGAAAGAAATTACCATGGTTTGCCCCTGTTGGAGTTACATGTGCAGCTTGACAGTGCAGATTCTCAAATTTGTCGTCAACAGTAGTATAAAACATTGCACAATTATTTAAATATAGTGATATACATGAATGCCAAATTGTTGACAAAGCTTGACAAAGACGCACAACCACACACACTCACACATGCGCACACGGAACAAGTATGAAACCAAAGGCACGCACACACTTGAGACCACGCACTCGATATATAATACGCACGCATTGACGTAAACAAATTCATGATTAAAATCAACCGCTGTCACTCACCGCTATGTACACCATGTCCCTCATTACCAGGTCAGCCAGTTTGTTCAGAAGTACCCCTCTCTTGGACGCATCTAAACGTCTCCATGGTGACCCCAGTTTAAAGGCTTCTCTTGCTGCCTTTACCGCCTTGTCAACATCAGCCTGAGGGAACAATATTTACAATACTTTTCAACGATCGACATGTGTAAGACAGCTTTATGCACGGTGTCGGTGTATTTAAAAATGATTTGTACAGTGTCATTTCAAAGTCCATACAAAGGACCAATAGGCCAAAAGTTGGCATTGGATATTTGTTGTTGTTGTTTGTGGAAGTGGTGGTGGTGTGCGTACGTGAATGCGTGCGCGAGCGAGCGCGAGTGTGTTTGAGAGAGAGAGAGCGGGGGAAATGGTTTACCTTGTCTCCCTCCTGGACATCACATATCTTCTCACCTGTCGATGGGTTGATGGTGGGGAAAGTCTTCCCGCTGGCAGAATTTACCCATTCATTATTGATGAATATCTGACGACATAAAAAATTGAAAAGTAGAAATTGTGAGAGCGGCTTCCAAGTAAATAAAATGTATCATGTATATATACAAACACATGAAACTACGTTAATTAATTTAAAACTACTATCACTTTTGTCTCTTCACTTTATACACAGCATATACATACGATATGAAGTCTGCGTTCCTCCTGTGATTTTTGGTTTTGAAACTGTGTATAGTTTAGTCAAGCTACATGTAGCTTATCCCAAGCACACAACCCAATGCCATGAACCTGTCAACACAATGATAGATCCAGCAGCAGGCAAAGCTTGCCCCTCCCTAATTTTCAAGTGTGACCTACTCTTCTTCTTCTCCCTCAAAAATAAACAGTACAACGGACGATTTGAGACATGACCAAGAAATTTTCCAATCCTGCATCCTATATGTTATAGTAAAATTGTCCTCGTCTGTTATTTTCGAGAGGCAAAGACCCCATTCCCAGAGATTAGATCGATCCAACTAGATCGACCTAACTCCCTGGGGGTTCACGCTTAATAGCTGTTAGCCGAGCGGGCACGAAAGTTAATTAACCCCTTACAGCTTGTAGTAGGCGGGACGGACATTAAAGCGGGATTATCTGACAGTAATTTAGTGAGACTCCCCACGGGGATAGATCGATCTAAAATCTATGGGAATGCGCCCAAAAAGTCTGTAATCCTGCCCCCCCCCCCCCCGGCCCCACTAATTCTGGGTCCACCAGTGCGTCAACTGCAGCGCGGGTTAACCTGACCTGACCTACACTGTACATAGATACGGTGGTATGGAGGGGTGATTGTGTAATTTGATGGAAAACAGATTTAAAAGTTAGAATATATTAAATGCTCCACGTCTGAGAAAGTGCAAGCAGCCAAAAACGTTTTATCAACGCTAAGGCCTTTCGAATGACTGCAAAGTGTAAAGATAAAATATATGAAAACAAAACAAACCAGTACTGTTCAAAAATTGATGCGTTTGAATAAAAGCGTACATGTAGAATGACTTGCAAGAACTTATCACTGTTGTTCCAAATACAGGGTGACCCAGATTCAATCAGCAAAAACTTAAGTTTCTGTATAGTTTTTCGTAGTCTTTAATGTTTCCCAACATCTGTGCACATCTTTGTTAACTCACACTGTGACAGTATAGAGAGTCATTTATAGAAGATCATCTTTTCTCTCTGCTAACAGAGTAACAGATTGCTGCCTATAAACAGACAAGAGATTTTAACACGAACAAGGTGGCATACTGCTTGTGAACATTTGGCTACATAAATACTAAATCGGTGATAGATTGTTTTGGATCATACTGTATGCACGTACTGCCTAGCGTTCAGCCAAGCGCTGAATGTGGGCATGGTCAGATACGAGAGTGTGTGGCAACCGACTGTCAGCCCAGCACAGGTAGACTACTTTGAGCACTTTGAACATCATACCTGTAGTGGGTCCTAGTATGGGCCAATTAGAAACAATTCTGTTAATTGGCCATCTTGGGCGCGGTGGTTTCTTACGTAACATTCAGGTTGTCACGTTGACAATCTCTCAAAACGTTGTCATGTTGCTGCAGTGTAGGTATATTGTGTATCACATCATACTGATACAATTAGGTGTATTGTGTTCATATCGCAAGATGTGAAATAGATCTTATAGAAGGCTAATTTCACCTTGTTTTCGCAACAAAATCAAATACCAGTGTGTATAGTCCTTCACTCAGAGACAATAATGACTCAGACAATTTAACAGCTTGATGAACAAAATGGACCAAATCAGTAATTGACTTCCATCATTTTGATAGCTCCGTCACTAAATACTCCAAGTTAACTGCTTACCTGGGTGAATTTAACCTCTGGGTTTTCAATTGGAGACGGGAGGGACATGTTTGTCGCTTCGAAGTTTGCAGCGATAGTGCTGGGTTGGCCGGCGGCGACCTTTGTGACAAATCGACTCCGTTATCAAGTACTTGTAAATCACGTGATATACAGTATGTACGCGAGATTACTCTACTCTAGATTACGCCACTGTTAAAATGAAGCACTGTTTAATCAGTAAGCGCATTCAGAACTAGTTGATCAGCAGACTGACTTAATATGGACGACCCACTCAAATCCTATACTAGTCTATACCGACTAATCCCCTTGTGTTCCCCCCGCCTCCCCCGGCTAACAATTAAACCTTGGAGCCGAGAGTTAATCTGTTTAAGGACGTGTAGGGAGGCAGGGAGACCATCAGGGATAAGGTGGCATGTTTTTAAGTGGGGTCGGCCATATTAAGTCTGCTCTGAATGCGCTCAGAATGGAGGGTGTTATGAAGGCAGCGATCACAGCAGCGACTCAAACCTAAAACCCTCCATTACGTGTCTTTTTTGCCCTTCATTGTTTGCTTTATCATATTAAACGTTTTGTTGTGTAAATGCAGTTGAACGCTTTGCAAATATATACTTATCTATTTTTGTAAAATTCGTGCAACTTACACCAGAGGTACTAAAGACTTGTGACGTTTTAATATGTCAGCAACTATTGACTGTCTTGTTTGAAATGGCAGCACAAAATGATAAGAGGACACAGGCTCGTCGGAAGGGGGTATGGTAAGCTCTCAGGAACCGTCCTTTTGGTCTAAAATGTTTTCTCTGAATCTAAATTGGATCTATGTTACCCATGTTGGGTCAACATAATTAGTGAAAAATGTTTACTTTTCACAAAAAAAAATCCATTGAAGTTGCTGTCCATATGGCATGGGTCGTGTCAGATATTTTAATCTAAGCACCAAATTATTCAGCTTATTGTTCATTTCGATGTAATAAACTATTTTGTGATTTTACTCCTGTCTACATTTACATTTACACCATACGACATTTAGGATGTTTATCTGTCATTTTGCTGTTGAGAGATGAATATTTGTGCGTAAATGAAAAAAAAAAAAACTCAATCTTACCTTTACACTGTCAAAAACTTAAATCTGTTGTGAAGACCAACTGTGCATCTATTTTATAGCATAACTTTGCAACCAGAGATGTTATAAAAATGTTATAAATATGTAAAATGATAGATCTCGTTATCAGAGTTTATTATTATATATAAAGATACGCAAATAACATGCAGGTTGATAGAATTTCTTTGAGTGGGGTGGGGCAAGTTCGAACACTTGAACTAGATAATTTAAAACTGAATTTACCCTGAA